TAACAGCAAGTTTCTGCATATCTGCCATTGTGTGTAAAATCATTAGAAGGTACCAGTACATTGACAAGCGCATCATGTCACGAAGAAAATGACGTACAGCAAGCACGAAGCCCCAGTTAGGAACCGGTACCCAGAAATGCGTCGTCTTTGGACCTGCGGGACTATTGATATAATAGCGAAGACGAGAAGCCATCAGCGTTAGTTTGAAAGTATGTTTTTTTGATACGATTCGTTATCGTCGTATATTTGAACGTTCCTATAGGATTAGCATATATATTTAATATGTGCATATAATAACCATACAGAGGATCGACTTTATTATATTAAATCGAAACGTTTTACTACAACCATGTAGTAGGGTTTTTGATGTTCCTTGACGCGAGGTTAGAAGCTCACGCATATCTGGTATTGTGCACAATTGTACGACAATACTACACAGCAAGTACCCCCACGAGCATGTAGATTGCATTAGCGTTTGTACCTCTTTTGCCTTTTATAATTTGACCAGCCTCAACGCTCAAGGAACGCACAATGCGCTTGGGGGTTCACTCTACTACTGCACCACTCTACAGTACCGGCTCCTAAGAGCTCGTTTGTGTCGGGATTCTACCTCTATCAATGACTCGGCGAGCAAACTAGAAAAGCGCAGTCCTTGCGACTGAAGACATCAAGAACTAACCTCGTACAGATACTGACGTGTTCTTTAGTACAGCAATTTTCAAGTACCGACGAAATCTCCTCCCGTCAAGAGACATACGTCGAGCCGTTAACAGATAACGAGGCGAACTCTGGGCCTATCCTATCCACTGCATGAGTTATAAACTTCCTGTCCGTGTCTTAAAGGAAGTGTTAAGAAAGCCTCGCGTGGAACTCACGACGACGTCCACATTTTTATCAATGAGCTTGATTTGGCTTGAGGAGCCCGATTTGCTTGGCTATAAGTGCAACAGTCAGAATGACTATTTCCGATCACACCATGGAAATGGTCTCAATATAGCGAATGTCATTCGCCGCACTGGGGCGGATCCTTTCACGCCTATGTGAGCAAGCCTTTCACTTGCACAGAGGGGTGACCCGTGCCCAAAAGTTGCGCTATATGCGCTTTCTGGCCCCACAGGTCACACATCCTCAGGGGTAGCAGTTGCACCTGGTAAATCCGTACCCCTGGAACTTGAGTGACAGCACCGATGTGTACTGGATGACGAATACACGTCGCCTCACTGTAAGAGTGCGCTGTTCGCAAACAGTCTCTCAAACCCAACAGGCACGCTTGTGCAACGATGAAGCGATTCCCGACGTAGAGGGAGAAGGTTAGTCCCGACTGATTGATAAATCAACGGTGTACTAAAATTAAACCTCAGATTTAACTATGGGTGTACGGAGCTTGTACTTCGAAAGCTTGAACTTCAACTAAAGTAAAAAGTAATCAGTAGAAGGGACTGGCTTACGCCACCCACTTCGAGAGACAGAGAGACGTTGATTTTGTTACCAGTACATATTTCCAGGTAGGTATCAGCATTCTGTATCACGCAGAATGTTTGTGACTATAAGAAATCACGTATGTATTTGGGAACACCATACTGTAATCTTCTGTTATTAATCTCCACGATGCATTCAGAAGGTACCTTCATGTAATGGTTAAGTGTAGCCCATTACACTCATCCGTCGCACAATTTCACAAGCGACTTTGGGTGCAGATGTTTGATTTGAGCGCCACCAGGGTGTGCCGAGTCATAAGCGGTATTCGCTGCGACAACCTTGCCGATCTAAACTCCCTTGGATTTTTGTTAGGTGTGCATTTCCTGTTCACCTGAGACTAGTGGTAGCCTTGGTATACCCGCCGGTTTATATACCGCTCCACGTAGAAATGTGTCCTTCCTTACTCATTTAGCAAGCTCCACCAAGCGTTGTCACGACCAGGATTCATTTGCGTTTGGAGTCGTTGCAACAACTGTAATTTAAGATGGAAAAGGCGTGGTTAAACTTGACGGCGGCGCCTCCTTGACAACACATCTCGCCATATTTGCGTCAGCGGCGTCTCGTCTTGTCCCAGGATCGTCACAGTTGTCTCGGTCTATAAGTGATATATACCGGATCACTGCGCAGCATACTGCTTCAAGCAAAACTTTGGAGTAACAATATGCGCTTTGCTATTCCCGCACCGGCACCTCATTTGATGTGGCATGTGGCTTGCCCGGCCCGCACGACCGAATAAACTAGCTACGCGCGTTCTGCTGTACTAGCCCTGGTGTAACCGGACACAGTCATAGGAAAGTCTAACTTCTCGTTTCTTAAATACTAATCGTTTCTTAAAAATTGCAAATTGCATTTACCTGTTGGCTGACTGACCTCTCACCAGAGAGACCCGGTGGCGTTGGTCAAGTGGATAATGCTTCTGGGTCTAAGGTTGTGTAGCGCGGATTCGAGCCCCTCAGCGGACAAAGTCGTTAGCGAACCAGATATGCTAGAAATGTCGGCTGTATGCAAAATATTACGGACAACAGCCAATAAGGACTTCGGGATGGCGATTCGTACAAGAAAAATCAAGAATTAA